GCAGACATAAGGTCAGTCACATAGTCTGATTCTTTGTACGCCGCCAATTCAGGAATGTAGACAGCTGCTGATTCTGCGATCAGAGACAGATAAGAGACCACGTGCATGCAAGTACTGCGGGACAATTATAACCGCTCACTTTCCAACGGGTATAACTATGTTTTGACTATCATTAATACGTGTGCTGACAGTGAGATTTTCACCGGGTAGACAATGGTTTAGAAGCAACTCCCTTGTTTACATTTTTGGGAATTCCCACTGAATGTCTGTATGTAAAAAAAAATCACTGAAATTCAATGAATAATAGTTGTTTAATGAAAAGTAAATATGATTAAGCTTTAGCTTAATGCAAAATTTTATAGATTTTGATTACGAACAACGTATAAAAATACATTATCATTTGTATTAGTTTCTAGTATGCTTTCATAACATCTTAATATTGTAGTACTAGGTGGCCTGAAAAACAAAAAAAAATCATAGTAAATAACACTTGTCATTTCAACTATAGATAAAAATAGTGATAACAAGCATATTTCAGATCCAAAGACAACGTTACGTTATTCCTTTTTATTCTAATAAATTACATCAATCACATTTTGCTAACGGATTTCGATATATTCTGAATATTATTTCGGCTATTAATAACAATAATAATAAGCAAGAGTGTTTTAGATGTGGTAGGATACGTAGGTTAAACGTCTTCTACTCAAAATAGAAGTAATTTTTCAGTTATTTTGTATATAATTTCTGTAAATAACATTCGTAAATTCGAATAAAACGATCATCCCATCTACGTAGCTTAATCAACCTAAGCTGGAATTCTCTATAAATAACATTTGTAAATTTGAATAAAACGATCATCCCATCTACGTAGCTTAATCAACCTAAGCTGGAATTCATCTAAGCTAACGTTGTAAGGACAGTTTATTCACCACTGTATTGCTTGCTAATGACGCGCACTGTCTGGTAATAAACAACATCGTTGACATCAAGAAATATGCAGGCAGGTAGTTGGTTCGCCGAGCATGCATTTTACTCAATGCCGTAATGCTTGGATAAACAAATGTCAAATAGGTCACTTCGTCATTAGTTATTCATTAGCTTATTACATGTGTGTCACTCGCAAATTACTATCGTGGCCCACGCGTGTCTATGTCGAACGTTCGGTGATCAGTACTGTAGATCGCATCCGCTGGAATGCTCTTGCTTTTATGTATACTTTATACATTCAATAAAGTGCGCCCTCTCTAATGAAATTAGTTTTTCTACATTGCATCTCGCACACTGCGGTCGATCGAGTAGGCCTGACATACGTTTGTTTAAATGTCAAATTCTTGGTCAGAATCTTTTTTTTTAACAGATTTGAAATAATTCCTATGAAATATTATATTTCACAAATGTCAATACTAGCAACGGAAAATATCATGTCAGCCCTTTTTTATGTGTGATAACAGAACCTAAATCTAGGTAAGGCTAGACCTAGCCTAGCAGTGTTGGATAGGGTAATGTTTCCGGCGCCTACTATATTTAATCGCAGACCAATCACAAAATCAAGCATAAAAAATTCATTCGCATTTATTTTTTGTGTGGAACACAAAAAAAATCAAATTTCAGTCTTATTTTACATCTTTTTCATGTTTAGGAATGTCTAAATTCAGTTAAACTAAATCTTTATAAGATGCATACAGATCAGAAACTATTAGATTTTGCCGGGAATGGGGCTTTAACAATAACCTTTGTAAAAAGACTGATATGAGCTTCAATATTAAAAAAAAAAGTTATATTATTGTTTTTATGGATGATACATTGACTCACATCTTTCTTCTCTCGTCGGATCAAGACAGATGATTTGAGTTTGCTGTGAAGTTCTTCCAGGTTAGATGCACCACTGTTAAAAAAAAAAAAGGCAAAGCAGCCTGGTTTTAATTGCCAATTTGTTTACATAAATAATTAGATTCATCTGCATGATTAATGATGACAATGAATCTCAAAATATCAATTTGTAACATCACTATTGATCCAAGTATTTTCTTTCTGGGAAAAACAGAGTTATTGTTGTTGAAACAGGTATGCTCACAACTTGGATGAAACATTATATTTAATGACTTGAACACAGATTAGATCTTTAAAAATACGCTAAGTAGAGTACCGGTACATAGCTACCTGCAACATCTCACACAATCATAAAACAAACATAAATATAGATTCATATGTTTTCTTTCTGGGAAAAACACAGTATTGTTATTTAAACAGGTAGAACCACATGTAGTATGCAGACAACTTGGATGGTACAGTAATTATTTAGTGACTCTGGCTACGGTCACACTAGAGTCTCAAGCCTGGCTTGGCTCACCGCGGGTGAGATTTCAAGCCAGGCTCGAAATTCTGGGTCGGTCACACACTACCTGAATTTAGTCTGATTGACCTCCAAATTAGGAAAGTCGAAAACAGAAATTAGAGCGCTGCCACAATCAAAATACCGGCCCAGCGCGCGAAACATTCTTGTGGTCGATCTTTATTTCTTTGGAATTGAATACGAACACATGCTGATCAATTCTATGCTTTTTATTATTTAAATTTTACAACAAATTTGAGATAACGTTCAAAATGCACCCGACTTCATTAATCGCATTACTACTACCATTGCTGGTTAGGATAATCGATGTAGATCATAGACCTATGATAATGGACAGTATATCGGATGATCTAGTAGTCCTAGGCTCGGATGTAATGGCAATGCTAGTTTTCAGATTGATAAGTGCAACAGCGTCATCAACAGTGATTGGTCGACAGCCGATGAGGAAATGTCAATCCCGGGTCACGCCAGGGACAATCCAGGGTCAATCTGGGTGCTGAGCAGGGATCGAGATAGGTAGATTGAGATCGAGGTCACGCCAGGCACGAGTCGATCCAGGTGCGGTCACATTACGAAAATCTCACCCGCGGTGAGTCAAGCCAGGCTTGAGACTCTAGTGTGA